GGTGGGCACATATTTGCCAAAGGTCCATTGTGTCCATGACCACAGGGCTTGATGGATACATATTTCTTCAAATTTGCCGTTGTATAGAAAACACAATATACTTTGACAGGCTACAGACTCCACATGATACAATATACAACTGCAAATGCGAGACTACCAGCAATCCTTGCACCATTCAACGAGGACTGTTAGAAAAAGTCTCGCATCGCTGGTTTTCAGACACACTGCGTCGTTTGTCCGAATCAGGCAAGTGGTCTACAGCTCGCTGATATGCACTGACACACAACAATCACCAAGGACCAAAGGAAATAAACCTAAACCCCGTGATATGGGTGAAGGCGGTCCGAGACAACTGAAGGGTATTTAATAGTTCGAGGGGGAAAGGAGGAGTAAGACGCCGTAGGGTAGTCCGTAGGAAGACCTAGAAAAATAAAACAAAACCTTGATGCCTGAAACAAACACTAATGGACGCTCCGGAGTATTTATCTCCGAAAAGTCGCAAACAAAGTCGCAAACCACGAAACCGAGTGTAGGTTCGGGCCCACGGGAGTAGAAATTGCTAGAGAAACTTGGTTAATTTTATTTCGCTATGTGAGACTCACCGGAGCTAATTGAATCGATGGCGGAGATAATTCACTCGACGAGTCAGGCCTATTGGCAAAGCTAGGATCGGTTATAATTCGCTAGGTTCGACGCTTTCGAACTTCTCGGGTCGCTGAGATCGTAACACTAATTCTCTGAGATGGTGAAGTCGAAACTTGTTTTTCTGTATGCTACTTTGTACAATTGATACTACAGGAATGGCTTTGCGACCGTCCGGAGATAAATAACAAATAAACGCCACTACCCACAGGATTGCTCAGCACTTGCCGCCGTTATACCATACACCATACGACTCTCTTGCACTCCCACTTGCTCGTCCCAGCCCCTAGAGGTCGCCTTGACGCTCTGCCACCTGATCCAAGCGGTCCCATCACTCCGTGCAACGCGCCGGTCACGTGCTAATTACCTCCGGCCGCTTGCTGACTGATGCTGGCCTCATGGTGACTCGCATGCGTCCGCACCTTCGGTATTTTGATGGAAACGAGAGAGGGAGTATGCTGGAGGGTGGGAATGAGGACGACGCCCCTCGATGGAAGTGTCCGCGGGCCCCGGAGCTAATTCGCCTAGAAGTTGCATAGATTAAGTCACCCCGGAGCTTGCGTTTGCGGAGATAAATCGTGGAATGGGTCCGTGTATGTCTTGGGGATGCTAGGAAGTCCGGAGCTAAATAGAGCAATTCTTTAGAGCCCATAGAAGCCTAGTGGCGTGTGAGTGCTGTGTCGAATAAGCTCCGGAGGGCTTGTACGATGTGCTGAGTCCGCATTTTCGGAGGTCAGACGATCCTGAGGCTTATCATTGCGTCCTCAGATTTCGCTTGATGCATTTATCAAAGGTATAGTGTATGTCCTACCACTTCAAAAAGTATGTAGACCTGTGCTAGAATGCTACTCAACGGTACAGACAAAGATTCAGATTTTAATACAGCTCTGGGAAGTCGCAAATAGAAAGTGCACGTAAACTGTGCAAGAAAGTGAAAATCGGGACCCCGTAAACTTGGAAAGGGACAACGACAATAGGGTTGACGTCGTCGGTAATACCCGCGTTGGCCCCTTGGCTGAGATGATATGCTGTAGACGCGTCTGCTCGAAGATACGAGTAATTGTCGCGCTCCAGGGTGTGACTAGTGCACGTGGTCTTAGCTAGTAACGCGTATTCGAACCCTATGGAGGAGCAGTGCCCGATTGTACGAATAGGCGAGACTACAACCCGTACTTACATCTGTTCGAACCGTGAACATGCATGCCCTGAACGCAGTGAGAGTACCTCGAGCTCTAGAGACGTGCGGCCAAGCTGAAATATAACACTCTGGATCAGAAGGACGGTGCGTGTTCCTCGCATGTCCTTCGAGCACAACCATCTCTTCCAACACCATGTCAAGGATCTGCTGGCGCAATTCCAGCCACTCGGACAACGGATGAAGCTCAACCGCCTGGACCAAAAGCCACTGCTCCATCCGCTGTTGCCAAGGTATTCTGTTCCTAAGCGGGAGGACAACAAGCCGGACAGCGTCCTCCTGCTCTCTCTCGGAGTACTCGACGTAATGGAGCGGCTCAATGATGAAGATCCTAATAGGTGACAACGCTGGCCAGGAAGGTGAGAAATCATTCGGTGGACGCTCTGGAAGAAGGAGCATGTCGCGAAAGGCGGCTATCTCATTGCACATAAGCCCCGCCCGGAATAATGCCCCGCCAGAGACCCTGACCCTCCTGAGGTGACTACCGGCACAAGTTATTAGTCGGCATGTTGAATTGTGAACATGCGAGAACATCTCTCTGCGAGCGTAAGCCATATGTGAAGTATTGCAATTGGGGGAATAATGGCCCGGCTTCAGGGTATAGATTAGAGTGGTCGCCACGTTCGTAGTTCGCAAAGAGTGAGGGCGTAGACTCGAGGGAAGTTGATGAAGAGCAGGCGAGTGTGCAGATATGAACGAGATGATTGGAAATTACAGATGAAAGTCTCGAGAAATGGGGATGCGAACTGAAGGATATCTTCCGCGGGTGGTCATTAGGTGGCACAAGGAGCTAGCAAAGTATGTACCTGCAATGTCAATGGCAACTCCACCCTCCCAGTCGCTGCGCACGAGAAGGAAGAGATGGCGGATGCTCCCTCGGGCTGATGACGAGGCTTGCTGCAACGTCCTGAGGAACGAAAGAGCCTGTGTTCCGGTGGTAATCGCGACAGCGCGGAATCTATGTGCCTCCGATATGGCGCGGAACGCCGTGAAAGTAGCCCTTATAGAGCTGGCTGTCCGCCCGCCATCACAAGATGCCGCCTTGAAGATGAGTCCAGTGACTTCCACGGGGAGTGCATCCAATACAGACTGCGTAAGTCGCTATGTGAGTGGATGCCAGGACTCAAATGCAATGCTTACAGTTCCTTGCATATGAGGCCGGGATTTCCGTCTCACAAGACGTTGTTTATGACACCTTCGAGGCGTTGCGTCGAGTGACTCTGCCACCCAGATAACTCGGAATCTGTCCCGTACTGATTTTTACAATGCGGGAATTTATCGTGTTTCCGGCTGCCGTGCGCACTCGTTGAAGACGACTCTACGTGCTCAGCACTTCGAATCAAAGTCAACAGCGCGATAACGGTACGCTTCCTCTTATGCTCTACTTGAGACTCAAGCGTCAACCAAACGCAATGTACAAGCACACGAGTGTATGATGTTTAGAGCGTACCGATCCAAATGCGAGGCGCTGGGCCGGATACTGTCGACCGTGAAGCTATGGAAGTCGGTTGAGCTGTCTTGCGCTACCCACCGACGGCCTGGACGTGTAGGAGGAAGACAGCTTCGCTCACCATGTCGTGCAAAGTGGGGTACCAATGGGATCAGTCTAGCTGATAGCACTGACTTCATCGGATCGGAATGGTGACAATCTATCAAGATGGCTGATGAAGATCATTGCTGAGATGAATAGTCGAGTATGTATGCTCTACGACGGAGTATCCCTTCAAGCTCTCTTCTTCACCAAGCGTGCAATGGAAGCTCTTCCAGTAGAACTGGCTGAGCAAATCTTTGCACTTGCGTGTACCGACGGCCGCGGCTGGCGAATGTCTTGTTCTCTTAGGGCTACTTGCAGGGCGCTTCACAGTATGTCTGAGAGATACAGGTTCCACACCGTTTCCCTGTCCAGTGGAAAGCAGATACTACGCTTCCGCAGCACACTACAGCTGTCGACCGCCTCTGCACGAGCCAGCTTCCGCCATCTCTTCATGGTCGTGCAGGTACAGTCCGCTGCCGGTACGTCTTCTCCCATAGCACTAATTCGTCGATCTCGGCGTTCTTGCATGTGTCCTGACCGACCTCCAGAACATATAATCCGCGTAGCCTCAGCAACCCTTCAGTCTCTCACCGTCCTTCTCATGTCCTCTTTCGAGGTCTTCTATACCCGCCTGCTGGAGCTGCGCCTACCGAAACTGACAGCGCTCACAGTGCGATTCTCGGACTCTGCATCGGACCCGAGCATTTCCCCTCGGCTGCAGCCGGCGTTCCCGCATCTCCAATCCTTGGAAGCCGCGTTCGCCTACGTCCCATCCACGCACACGCGGTTCCTCTGCGACCCGTGCCAGAGCGGCATAGGTAGTGCCGCGCTTTATCGAGCCCATGGCAACATGCTCCGGGTACCGCGGCTCGACGACGTACGCCTTGATGCCTGACAGCGCTTGAACCTGCGGCAGGGGCCGCATTTGCTCCTCTCGCTCATCCAGCCAGTACCCCCACATCGCGCGTAGGTCTGCCGTGTCGGTGCACCGGTTGCCGAACCCCACCCCTGATGCGCGCACCGTCTCGAGCTCCCCGCCTGCGCGCGAGGCGAGCTCGCACAGCGTCAGATGCGCGGAGCGCGGCGTCGCGGCGCAGAGCTTGTGCTGCTCCCACCAGGATCGCTGCCGACTGGATGGTCAGATGAGAAGACGGAGAAGGATTGGGAGGAGGCCTGGAGGGGGTGGTGTGATGCGCTAGCATGCCCCTGGGACTGAAGACGAGGGGGGACGGGTAGGTAACGCGGTCCATACTGGAACTTGAGGGCGGAGCGAAGGATGGGGTGATATTGAGCTTGTGCTCCCCGCTCGCGCGAGTACCACGCACTGGTGGGAGTCTAAGACGGAGGTGAAAGGGCAGGATGAAAGCTGGTCTAGTACAGAAACCAGACCAGACAGATGAAGGACATTTGCGTCCTGTGCCCATGCTTCTGCCCGCAGACACGGTTGACTGAAGGACTACTAAGTGTAGAACATCAGAAGACTCACAGTACATATCCCTCCTTAGGCTGCCCAATGTATCCTCGGCATGCCCTCCCCCTCCGGCATAACACAAACACAATTGGCGTCTCTGTCCATGGAGTGCCTAAAATAGGGTATGTCGAAAGATATGACGTTGGTCACGCATCTTGCCGGGCCGCCCGTCCTGCTCGAAGTCGACCACTCTTCTTATGACGTGCAGCCTATTTACACCACCGTCTTAATAACCTTGCGTCCGTCGGTACACTGTGTAACATCCCTGACCTTCCACTATGCCAAAGCTAGCAACTCTCAAAGGTCCCTCTATTCACCTCATTCAATACCTCAGAAATGAGGCCCCATACAGCACGCTCGATGGCCTCGCGGGATGGGCCGCCTCTATCGGCATAAAGGCCCTACAGATCCCCGTCGATCCGCGACTCATCGACATCCACCGCGCCGCCTCCGACCAAGCGTACGCTGACTCGATCCTTGCGACCGTGCGCAAGCACGGACTGGAGATCTCCGAGCTCTCGAGCCACCTCGCGGGGCAGCTCGTGGCAGCGCACCCCGCGTACGACGCGCTCTTCGACGGGTTCGCGCCGGCGGAGTACCGGGGAAACAAGGCGGCGCGGGAGGAGTGGGCGCGCGGAGTGCTCTTCGCCTCCGCGAAGGCGTCGAAACGGCTCGGCCTGAAAGCGCACGCGACCTTCTCGGGCGCGCTCGCCTGGCCGTACTTCTACCCGTGGCCGCAGCGCCCCGCAGGGTTAATCGACACCGCATTCGAGGAGCTGGGGCGGCGGTGGCTGCCGATCCTTGAGGCGTTCGACGAGGCGGGGGTGGACCTGGCGTACGAGATCCACCCCGGGGAAGACCTGCACGACGGCGTCTCCTTCGAGCGGTTCCTGAAAGCGGTGAACAACCACCCCCGCGCGAGCATCCTGTACGATCCGTCGCACTTTGTCCTGCAGCAACTCGACTACCTCTCGTTCATCGACATCTACCATGAGCGGATCAAGGTCTTCCACGTCAAGGATGCGGAGTTCGTACCGGACGGACGGCAGGGCGTCTACGGGGGCTACACGGACTGGGCGGAGCGCGCGGGCCATTTCCGCGCGCTAGGGGACGGGCAGGTGGATTTCAAGGGTATTTTCACGAGGCTAGCAAAGTACGGGTTCGACGGCTGGGCGGTGCTCGAGACGGAGTGCGCGTTCAAGGACCCGGAGGTGTGTGCGGTGGAGGGCGCGGAGTTTATCAAGAGGCATATCATACCCGTCGTCGGCGACGGTGCGTTCGACGATTTTGCAGGGAGCGGGCTGTCAAAAGGAGGTGTTAGGAAGGTGCTTGGGTTGGAGTGAACGTGGTTGTAAGAGGATTCGTCTCCGAAGTAAATGATAGTTTGAGGCAGAGAGCATTTATTCATGCGGTCAAAATGCTGGAATTAGTATGGTCGACGGAGATCAGTACTCGCGGTCAACTAAGGAAGCTGTTTGCCTTGTATTCATCCAGAGAGTGATGGGTCTCACCTCCGAAAAGATACGCAGACTTCTGCATTTTGATCAATTCATAACCTTTTCCTCCGGTGCTCGGCCTGCTCCTGAGCCTTCGGTCCACTCGAATACAGTACCTCAGGCAGTTTACTACCGGGGAATGGAGTAACACATCGCCGCCACAAGAGAAGCTGGCATTCGAAACCTCGCTACCCCAGACTCTTCGAGCGTCAGATCCAGGGTCATCATCATGTCACAGCATAAGCGCTTCGACGTCACAACAGGATACTGCATCCAAGACCAAAGCTTGGGCCGCACCAGCAAACGCATGCGATTGGGACGACGAGCAAATTGCATACTCGATGCACTGGTCCTCGATTGCAGGCCTTTGCTACAATATTAATGAGGCAAGAGAGCACCGTGCCGCTGGTTGTCCACTCAAACAACAGCTCGTCCCAAACTGTCGCAGCGTCGAGAAGGGAGGTGAGCGAATAATGAAAGCCAGTGTCCGGCATCTAGTAACCCAGATCACGCATCCAGCGGAGACAGCTGCTGAGGAATGCCTCCGAGTCGAGAACGTGCATCTTGCATCCTAGACGAGGCAGGCTCCGAGAAAGGATTGTGACTTACCTGCGTCCTGACACGGCCAAGGCTGGATTTCGAGCGCCGGCCACGATCCTTTGCCACCGCGCCTCACTACCTCAAGCACCGGTTCTTGCTGGGATTTTTAAGTATAGAGGTGGGGGATGATATCTGACGATCATGGGTAGCTTGACTAACGAATCCAGGGGTGATACAGTGGGCCCAGTTGTCATTGAAAGAACTATACTTTCGGCACATAGCCTCGTTTGAATCCGTGTCGCGCATGGGCTTGAGTTTGTCTTGCGGTAGTGAGGGATTGTAAGCATTCTGCGACCATCAAACGCGCTGACACGATATACAACTCGACACGTCCTCTTTGGCACGCGCTACAGTCTGGGCACTAACGAATCAATCATGAGTAAGATCTATGGTTTTCCTCAGGTTGCTGCCACAAGTCGTTCCCCATGATCTTCAAGCCACTCCGCCCGCATATCCACTTCACCCGTTTGCACGCGCAACCATTCCTCCTCCCAGTCTACCGGAGTTTTCCCTGCGGGCCTGATCTCGTGTAAGACCCGCAGATGTATGGCCCGTTCCTCCGCCGCCCGCCGCTCCAGGGTTTCCAGGGTTTCCACGACATTTTGCACGGCTCCATAGCGCCAGTACAAGTCGAGGATGAAATACCGAATACCAGTCGGAAGCGGCGGCAAAACCCCCCTGCCAGGCCGCAACCCCAGCACCTCCTCCAGCGCCTCACTCAACGTCTCCGTTCCGCGCACGCGGGATATCCTCACGCGGAGCAGCCGCGGCCCCGCACACCTCGCGAACACGAAAATGCACGTCTGCGCAAACCCAAGGCTCGCCGTGTCCGTGGGCGCGACGTGCAGGTAGCGCAGGCGGGGGAGCGTCGGGACGGGGGCGGGCGGGCTGCGCGCCATGACGGCGTGCAGGTAGATCGCGCGGTAGCGCACCGTGAGCGCGACGAGCCGCGGGAACGCGGTCTGCAGGAGCGCATCGTGGGCGGGCAGCCCCTTGTACCTGGCCGTACAGACGAGGGCGAGCGTCTCCACCGTGCGCGCGGTCGCGCGGAGGATCTGATTTCCTGGCAGGCCGGAAACGCGGGTGAGCTTCGACTGCGACGGGAGGCGGTCCGCGCGGCTGCGTACCCGGCTCGATGCTGAACCCGCAGATAACCACGAAGAGGTGGCGGACGCTCGCCTGCGCCGGCGGCGAGGACTGCGTGAAGGCCGCGAGGAAGGCGGTGATCTGCCTGTGTGTTGTTACAGCCACTGTGTGGAATCGGAATGGGTCGCACGCCGCGCGGAGAGATCTGGAGGTGGACCGGAGCGCACACATCGTCCGCCCAGCGTCGGCGCATGCCAGCCCCAGAATCTGCTCGACGAGCTCTATTGGGAGGGCATCCATGATATAAGGAGGAATGTACAAAGGGAAGAAGAGCGCGCGCTATCCTCCACACACTGACGGTGGGAACGTATTACCGTGTTAGAACGGAACTGATCATGATCCTGCCGACAGTCCCATTGATTACATATGCGAATGATAGGCCTGGCGCTTGCATTAGATACTACAAGTGCGCCGGCCGAGTGCAGGCGTGCCCGTTCGGAGCAGGCTGAGCTGCCGTTGTCAGGACGAGCGCAGCCTAGCATCCCAGCGGGAGCGGTGGCAGCATGGCACTTGCGTCCGTCCAGAGCCCACCTCTGGTACCCGAAAACCCTTCAAGCATGTTGCCCGGGGGGATGTGAGGCTACGACCGACGAAAGGAGAGGAACACCGAGACGAGCTCCGCGGGGAGGACGACGAGTACAGTGTGCGTCTACGGACGCCCTGGGCAGTTTACGTCCACGGAAAGAACGCTGACACAAGAACGCTGACGTCACCACCTCGTCAATCGACCAATCAGGGCCGCCAGCACGCTCCTAGAATACCGCCGTGTGGGCAAGATTCCCAACATGCGCAGGAGCGTCCAACGACGGCGAGATCAAGCAGGGAATGATGATCATGCGCGAACGATCCGCGGGGCACCGTACACTCGATAGGCTACACTCCCCGGGCGTGAGCTGAGCTGAGCAATTATTACTATTACCAAACTTAAAACATAAAATATTCCAATGAACGACAGATCAACGAGCGTATAGGTGTGTGCATCCCCACTTCCCACGAAACCGAACAATCACTTCCACTAGAATGCACATTCATCAGCCCACTCCTTCCCCAAACGTGCGGTATACGCGCACCTTGATCTGGCTATAGACCGTAAACCCCGTCGCCGCAGCCCCCTTCGCGACGTACCCCCGCTCGTCAACTTTGCCTTTCCCCAGCACGACCGGGCGGATGTCCTTAGGGATGCGGGTATAGATGTCAATGAGATACTTCCTTCGACAGAGACAGAGAGACGGGGACGTACCGTGAACCCAAAATGCGCGTACCGGTCCCGCGACTTCGCCGTGCTCCCTTCGACGGTGAACACGCTCCCCGGCGCGTGCGCGAACGCCTCGCGCGTCAATAGCGACATGAATCCTGCGTGTGCACAGCGTCAATGGGTCAATAGTCGAGGAGAGGGGGAGAGCGGCCGCACCCTTTCCCTCGTGCGCGGGGTCCGTGCACGCGAGGAGGAGGTACCACGCGTCCTCGGGCGATATCGTCGCACGGTGCGCTTTGAACCCGCGTTTCATGACGCGCTCGGAGTGGATGGGCGTTGTGGCGAAGCGCTACAGTGATGCACACCACATCGACATGAGCGTGGTTCGGTAAAGTGCACACTCTATTTTCTGAGCACGCACCCACAGTCCGCCCGGCCCCCAGACCTTCAGCGGTTTGAGCGGGCCCGTGCGTAGGAGCGCGCGGACGTTAGAAGGGGACACGCGTTTGTGCGGCGGGCACCAGATCATCATCCCCCCGAGCTCTTCTAGGCCGCCTTCTGGCTGTGGAATGGCGACGACAGTGATAGGAGAACAAGTTCAGGAACTGGAAGAACTTCTGCAGGTTCTGGCGCGCACGGCAGTCGGTGTCGTTTGAGAGGGGCTTTCGGGGAAAGGGGGAGAAGGATCGGGTGTCTGGTTAAGTGCCGATGTAAGAGCAAGGGCTAGGACTCACGGCTTTGACGCGCCCGAAGTAGTTGAAGACGGGGTCGGCGATGAAGGCGCGCCGCTGCATCTCAGCTATGCGATCGAGCTCCTCGAGTTTGGCGAGGCGGACGTAGGGCTTGTGCAGGGCGTCGGCCATGACTGCTCTACCTCACATGCGATGAACAAACTCTGGGCAACCTCTTTGATTTGGGTTTTAAACGTTGCAGTGAGCTGCATCCGGGGATCCGGGTATAATACTGGTGGGTGAGAACCAGCGCCGCGGAGTACACACTGTGCTGGGGCGTCCGAAGGTATTCATAATAGAGATGACGGTCGTTGGAAAGAACCTCCTGCAGTACCAGAGTTTCGCGGAGATCAATACGCTTCATAACCATAAAGGCATGGTTAGCACGATCGAAATACATGGGGATAGGAGAGTGCTGTCAACGGACCACATAAGCAGCAAATGGGATATCGTAGCTGGTGCTTCCTGGCAGTACTCGGCGTTGAGTCATGACTTGCAATGCGAGAGTGAGTCGGGGATCGCGAGTCCGCGGCCGATGTCTTTGCTTGGAGCAGTGTGCCATCGCAAATCCATTGCTCGCCTTTCTGTCGTTCTCGCGACCACCCTCTCGAGGGCAGAATTGTCTATAGCTATCAATGTCCTGCCGTCAATGTTGGTGCGACAGACTGGGCACGACTCGGAGCCTCTCACGGCAGGTTCGAAGAATACTACTTAAGCGCGAGCCTCCCTTCCGAACACTCTAATAGTGCCAACGTCCCAATGCCGTCAAGTTCATTGCCACCTCCAATGACATCCTAAACCTCTGTCTTCCCTTCAAATCCAACTGTGCGCTCGGGGTGTCATGCCGTGGAGCGGTACAGAATCCAAGGTGGAGGTTCCGAGACCTGGCCTTTGGGTGGCGCCCCGTTCCACCGTTCGACACCCTCTTCCGTTTGCCAGTTGAGTCAAACATCAGGTCCTCTTTCCCAATGGACTGGAAGGTCCATATGACAGACTCGGGGCAGCCTTTCGGCTCGGGCGCGTGGTGTCTTGGAAGGCCAGCTTCCTTCATATAGGTCGTAGTGAACCGGTGCTCGCGAGATGTCGCGGCATGCACAGGTACGGTGACTGTGTTCGCTCTTACATATACTGCGCGGAGAAACGTCATTCCGTATTGCGTAGCTGGTGTGGAAGAGTCGGAACGGCGGGGACAGCATAGGGATAGATAATCAGTATATGACTCGAACCTGACCTTGCGTAAGTAGTTGGAGTACGTGTCGCTGACTGTGCTCATCCTATTTCGTAGGCTCAGTACAGGTGCTCAGACGTATGCTACTTCAGAGAGTGTGCAAGCCGTACACTTTGGAGCATCGCCGCACGGCAGAGCGAATGGAAGAAAGACGCGTCTCTCCGGCATCTCCTCTCCACCATTGTAACATCCTAGTTTCAGGTCCGCGTCGACACCATCATCTCACACCGGGCCCACATCCACTTGCACTCACGCCTGCTCGTCCGCATCGTCATCGAGCCGCTCCACGCGCGGACGCACCGCCCCTCTCTGTACCGCCAGCCACTCCGCCTCCCAATCTCCGGGCGTCATGTGCGCCCTCGACCGCCACGGCGACAACAGAAACTCCACCACCCCTTCCTGCTTAGCCCAGCGCTGCAGGGCGCGCAGCTCCTCCACCATTTGCGCATCCGGGACGTGACACAGCTCGACGACGTAGCGCGCCAGACCCGCCGGGACAGGCGGGAGGTACCGCACCGGCCGGCGCGCGAGTATATCCTGCAGCATCAGCACCCAAGCATCATCGAGCTCCACCCCGGACACGCGCGCGCGCACGAGCGCTCCCCCCGCGCGGCGCGCGAACCAGTCCAGGGACACGTGCGCCCTGAAGACCAGCGCCGGGCGCCGGTGCGCGATGTGCAGGTCGCGCAGGCGGGGCAGGGTGGGCGTGTCGGGGAAGGGGCCGAGGCGGGAGAAGAGGCGCGCGGTGTACTCGTGGTAGACCAGCGTGAGCGCGGCGAGCCGCGGGAACGTAGTGCGTCTGAGGGGCTTGTCGTCGGGTTCGCGGAGCACGCAGGTGAGTGTCTCAATGGTGCGCGAGATGGACTGGAGGATGAGGTTTCCTAACAGAAGCGAGGGTGGGTGGGGTTAGAGCGGAAGCCAGCAGGCGGATGGTTTCTCGTCGCTGCGCACCTACTTGAGCGTTTTCTTTGTATATGGCAATGAAGAGGTGGCGAGCGCTTGCCCGCGCGAGCTGTGATGAATCCTTAAAGGCCTCTAGGAAACAGGGCGATTGCTTGGGATTTCTCAAAGCTACCGTGTAAAATCTGAAAGGCTCAGACGCCCTGCAGAGGTATTTGGAGGTGGCGCGGAGAGCGCACGCGGTGTGCCCGCCGTCTGTGCATGCAAACTCCACAATCTGCACAACGAGCTCTGCTGGCAGGGCGTCCATGGTACGGTATGGGTGAGAGTCAGTCGGCGTTGGAGGCGGGAAGATGGGTGTTGAGAGATTGGAAGATGCTACACGTGCTGTGCTTCGGACACGCGGTTGATGCTTCGAGCGGATTGGTCAAGCGCTAGCCGAACGTTCATCAGCAAAATGGCAGCCCACGCTAAGGCGCTAAGTACCACTAAGGCGCCCTTACCGAGCTCCTTAGCTCTAACTCTCTGAGTTTCTTAGCCGATGCTGTAGAGGGTGGCAGAGCAATATACATGGCTCTGTTGATCATAGATGTACATGTAATGTATACCAGTAGCACTAGACAAGGGCGGAGACTCGTAATTTGGGAGTTGCTATCATTCAAGGCAAAGGCTGAAATGGGTTTGGGCACCAACTAGTGTAGCCTTGTAGTGCAATGGTTATATTGTATGGTTGGGTATGGCAGATGCTGGTTCGGATCCTGG